ACCTCCACTCATCCAACAATGTTGGAAGTTGTTGGCCAACAGTGTTGTGTCCGGTTAATTGCACGGGGCTCAAGTACTAGTCGGTAAAACTGTAATTAATACAGTATTAACGGCAATCAATAGCAAAGTACATTATATTGTCGAGACTAAGACCAAATAATTAAGGAATTCTGCATTATCAAATGCACTCTTATCGTCACATATCTCATTTTTTCAGTATATCAACACAACAGGAGCTCGAGTGTGTTTAAAAGAGTTGTACAAGTCAAAGTACGACCCTCTCTCAGTATCATATACTGTCTTGTCAGGTAAGAACGGGTTTATTTTAGTAACACATAGGTTTTACTGATTACTCACAACTAATTCATTATAAATGCATTAAGAGATAACTTATACGAGAGTCATTTCATTAATAGAGGAAGGCGGACATTTTAAATATTAGCTCCCTGGAAGTCGTTCAATGTTTTTGCTACTGATTATCCCATGTAGAAAATATTCTCAGTTAGGGGTTGTCAGTTTGATTTTCCTCTTTTCCTCCTGCTAAGCGTATCGGCCGCACAAGGAGTTGGAATGATGTTTGTGAAGCTGCCTCGTCAATCAATCAATCAATCAATCAATCAATCAATCAATCAATCAATAATTTATTTACCCACGTAAACGCCTAAGAGCACAAGTGCTCGTTCAAAATACGCACGTGCATTAAAGCTACAGTCATAATAAAAATCTAGTGTTCAAAAATAATAATAAAACTATATATACATACAATCTATAATCTATGTACACATGAATATAAAAAATTATAAAAATTCAAAAAAAAAAATATTAATAATTATAAATATTAAAAATTACAGCTGAGTCGACCTTAGCTTAGACTTAAAAAATATTAACATTATCGGGCAGCTTGACATCTTTTGGAAGTTTGTTCCATAATTGAGCTCACTTGTATGTAAAAGAGTTCCTCATGAAATTAAGATTAAATTTGGGAAGCAAAGATTAACACCATTTCTTAAATTGTAAGACGTCTCTCTTATGCTAAAAAAGTCTCTAATGTATTTCGGCCCTATATTGCTAATGAATTTAAATAACAGGATCAGAGATTGCTGCTTTTTCCTACACTCTAAAGTGTTCAACTTACATATATTCAAGAGTTCTTGGTAGGACAATGGTTTCCCGTGCCCTGTTGCTTGCGTTGCTTGCCTCCACTTCTCTCGCTTCTCGATTATTCCGTTCTCCCTACTAAGCCTTGGGAAAGCCTGTGGACCAAATGTGTGGGGATTTCTAAACTGCACAGTCGTTTTATATCTTTATCACAGATATTTGCCAGCCGAGATGGAGTTATTTTGGGGGCTACTGTTACTTCACAAGTGGTGCATGCGCCTCGTGGCTGACCGCTGAGTCAAATTGTTTTACGATGAGTTCCAATTTGGTAACGGTTCACAATCAAGAAGAAAATGTCTACATTCAACACCGTCACAACGGAGAGAGATCTTGGATTGGGTTCAATGACCGAAGTGTGGAGGGCTCCTTTGTGTGGACAAACAAAGAAATAAGCAAATTTAGGTTCTGGGCCCCACAGCAACCGAATGACTGGAAAAACGAAGACTGTGTTCACACTCTTGGCGCCAAGCATGGTTACACTTGGAATGATGTGCCATGTACTAACTGTTACAACTACACGTGTTTTAAAGGTACTAAGCGTAACACTATGAAGATTTATAACTATATATCTTAATCTTCACGTTCCAGATAGTGAATCTGTTGAGTTAAAACTACATTTAAAAAGGTCGAAACACAATTACAGCACGTTAGGCAGATGGTTAGACAGGTTGCACGAAAATGAAGAGAGGGTAACACCAATCAGTTTCATTATTAGAAACATAGGGAAACAAGTCGTATATATTTGCATTAAAAAATGTCCATTGACCTTAAAATGGCCGCAAAAGCCTGAAATCGGCGTAATCAAAAAACATATCTTAACGAAATTGATCTTTAGTATGCCAACTGAGCAAACAGAGTACTTTGCTGTTATAATTAATAAGAATTTGCATTGAATCGTTATGCATTTCAGAAAGGAAATTTTCTCTCTCGAATACTACCTCTTACTATAGCTCGTTCTGCTATAGAGCTAAGAGAAAGTCTCACCTATAAGCTATCTTAAGATGTTCTCGCCTTTTGAGATTCTTTTCTTTCGAATTGTGTTTATTACGTGTAGTTCAATGTTTCCCCCTGCGTTTATATGTAAGAAAGGCATGAAAAATCGGATTACCTATACTAGTTAAGCAGGGTTAACGCATAGAGAAAATGTAAGTAAATGACCTTTAGTTATTGATCCAGAGTTTGTTGCATCACTAAACAAGAAGGCTTCCTCTCTTTTTTCGCCAGATATCGACGAGTGCTCTACTAACTCTCACAGCTGTGATGTTAATGCGGTGTGTAGTAATACTGTTGGATCTTACGCATGCGCATGTACAGCAGGATTCACAGGGGATGGATTCACATG